TAATTCTGAATCACCCTATTACTGTAATCACACCCGAATCAGAAGTTTATCACTGCGAAACAAAAACTTATCGAATCAGCAAATATTTGCTCGGTAAATTTTATCGGCCGGGTCAAATTTTTTTATTTTGAAAATAAAATTAAAAGCTGGGTTTTGGGAAGAAATTAATTTTATATGGCCTTAGCATGCAAAATTATCATGTGATGACTTTTAGAAAATTATTCTAGAATGATCTAAAAACAAACATCGATCTTACGTGTTCCGTCTCAAAAAATAACACAGCAAAATAACCGCTATGATGAAAAAAGATATATAAAGTTCACTTTTTTCCTATTACTTCTTTTTAATTTTAAATTAAATACATTTATTTATGCTTTATACATTCACGAACTTTTTGCTTTTTTTTTCCTTCAAGACGTAATTGTTGACTTTAATTATTTCGTTCTATATACGTGTGGTTGATTTTGATAGACGATCTGATGTTTATAAAAGCATGAAGCAAACTACCACGTTGACTTTTTTATGTTTATGTGGAATTCAAGAAAATACTGGATATAAAGTTGGTAGAACTTCGGAATAGTAACGGAGAAGAGAATGAACTCCTCCATCAAGACTTTAAAGAAGTTTTACGAGAAAAACAGGTTCAAATTAGAAAAAAAAGATGGTGTTGAAGTAGCTGATAAGAGTGAAGAATTACAAACTACATCGATTAAGAACAAAGGCTAGCCCTCTTACAATACAAAGGCAAAAAACAATTGTTAAACAGCTAAGTATGTTAACTTACGCGGAATTTTATTTCGCCTTTAAATTATATAGCAAGCCAACCAAAAAATTGACATTGCTGTTAGTGTGGTTTTGTATTTTGTTAAATTCGTTGTATTGTTTTTAGAGTTTTTATTTAGATGCAAGGTTTTATTACTTTTTTTAGGCCGTTTATTAAAGAAATTCGAAATTCAGACGGACTTGAAATATGGCATATGGAAGTGGCAGATGAATCATACAACTGATAAGCACACTTTAATAGATACAAATGGTTTGGTTGTTTTTTCGTAATATTGTCTTGGTTGTCATCAGCAAGTACATTTTTTATAAAACTTACGTAGTTCTATAAAGTTATATAAATATTATATAAAATTTTTATATAGATTTACAAACCCAATGTAGACTTATATAGTCAAAATTTTTAGATATAATTTGATATAATATTTATGATGTATAGTTTATTTATTATTTATATAAATATAAGATTTATATAAACTTTATTTATATCTACATAAAATAATTTAATTTACTTTAGCTATTTCTCAAAAGTGACTAAAGGTAATCAGTGTTTGATATACTAAGTAACAATAATACTCGGTATTATGACTAACTGCGGTTGTAACAGTTGTTACAAACGTCCAATCAGATAATTCCGACACGTCTTTCGTAGAAGGACTTCGTGTTATTGGTCAATGTAAATAATCGCGGATGACTTAGTACTTTTTGAGAACAGAATTTTTAACATTCACAGTGCATATATTTGCATACACATACACAAGTGCTGCGCGCAAAAAGTGAACAGAATTTTTAAGCTTTGATGAATTTCATATGTACATTATTTAACTTATTTCAATAAAATTATAAGTTAATCGCCATAAAAGCAGATGTAAATACGATTTAAAGAAAAAATGTATGAGTAATATAACCTATATGATCTTTATGGCCTGTCGTAGGTCATTTGGTCACGATGATTTTCTGCGGTGATAATAATATCACAGCAGAAAGTCATCGTCCTTAGTCACAACTAAAGTTGATAGCAAAGAATTTTTTAAATAACATTTAATATGACCTATATGACCTATGTCCAAAAATTATATGATTATATGACTAAGGCCATATCAAAAAAATGGTCGCCAATACTGGTTTAATTAGTTGTTAGTTCGTATAGTATACGAATCTAGTAGATATTGCTAAATGAAAATAATGATTGTTTGTTGTTAGAAATATATGAATGCCGTCAAATGAAAACCTGTGCAAGTACGTACGAATTTAAATTTATATTAGCAGTTAGCTTCTGAAGAATTGTAATACGCATCAGTATCTATTACATACGTACAGTACGATTATGTTTTGATACTAATATAAAATGTTGCTAAGGTAACAAATACTACTGATATCGAAATGGCTACGTATAATGATTGTAACGTACTAGTACGTACTAAAATAAGTTATTATACGTATATAATAATAAAATAACGAATAATCGTTAAACAAATAGTTTACTCATATAATTGATTGACTTGATTGGCCAAAGATCACATTTAATGACATAATTAGCTAATTATATAAATGTCATCTGATGATATTAGTCATATCGGATATCGTTTGTTAACGTTGATCGCATCAATACTTTGCTGACTCGAAAAATCTACCGCATACTCAACTCTACAAGCTTAACAGTAAAATATTACAATCATGTCTGTTGTTTCTGGACCAATTCCTCGTTCTAAGCTTTTCACATGCTTGGCTTGTCAAGTCACTTTTAACACTGCTCAAGATCAAAGAAATCATTATGGAACTGATTGGCATCGATATAATTTGAAAAGAAAAGTTGTAGAATTGCCACCTGTAACCTATAATGTATTTGAACAAAAGGTCTTAGGTAATACTCTTACCTAATTATTATTAACCTAATTATTATTAACCTAATTATTATTAGATAATTTATATTAAATATAATGAAATTTACGAACTATTCGTCTATTCATAGCTCAACAAGCGCAAAGTAAAGACGCGGACGAAAAGGCTAGTTTCTCTGCTGAATGTGCCGCTTGCAAGTAAGTCAAGTTTATTGCAAGACATTAGTAAATAAATTCTTCAGCACTCAAAATTAGATATTCATAGAAAAACCTACTATTCTGAAAACGCTTATGCTAATCATTTGCGTTCCAATAAACATAAAGTCGCTGAGATAAAGGCTGTGCAAGATGGTAATTCATTATTAACTCCGTGAAGAATATCGAATAATATTATTAAAACATGTAATAAGCCAATATTTCTCAATTAACAGGTGGTGCGCTGGCAAAAAAAACTACGTTGAATTCTCGTAAAGACGAAGAAAACATGCAAGAAGATGAGGTATATGATCATCTTATTCTCCATTATTATTTTGGCTGCTTTTTTTTTTTTTATTGTAACTAAAATCATTATAAATACTCTTATAAATACTCTATATTGATAGATTAAATTGACTGATGTCGATTGTCTTTTCTGTACACAAAAATCCGAATCTTTTGAAGCCAATTTGTCACATATGACTAGAGCTCATAGTTTCTTCATTCCAGAAATAGAATATTTAGTCGACATTTACGGACTAATAAAATATTTAGGAGAGAAAATTGCTGTTAATAATTTGTGTTTATATTGCAATGGGCGAGGGAAAGGTCTAAAAAGTCTTGAAGCTGTCCGACAACATATGGTGTGTATTTAATATATCATTTTTATTAGATAATTATCACTATTAATTTGATTCATAAATGATAAACTATGTAGATAGATAAAGGGCACTGCAAGATTGCTTATGATAGGGATGAAGATATAATGGAAGTTGTAGATTTCTATGATTTTACTTCCAGCTATCCAGTAGAAGAAGGTTCTGAAGAGTGGGAAAATATTGATGATGAATGGGAAGATGTTGAAGAAGACATTGTTGTTGAGAGTGATGCCAAATTTTCAAAAGGGTATGTGATAATTATATAATTCCAAGTGATTTTAACATGAAATAATTTATATCTTATGTGGTTTAATATAATAGTGGCTTATTGAATGAAGATGACATTGAATTAATATTACCATCTGGTGCACGTATCGGACATCGTTCATTACGAAGATATTATAAACAAAATCTGCGTCCTGAAGAGGTGAGAATCAAGAAAAGATATTTACAAACTAATCTTCATACTTATAATCATTTTATATTTACAGAATAGAGACTCTATTATTATAAACCGTCTTATTACTCAATATGGCAGTAATTTTGATTATCATCGACGCTCTGGAGGCGTTCTTGTTGCGAAAGGTGGTCATACAAAGCATGTACAATACTACATTGCAACTTTCCAAGATAAACGTCTTCATAATGATTTTGATACACGTGTTGGTATTAAGTCCAACAAATTACAACGCCATTTTAGGGCCCAAATATTGTAAAGTGTAAGATAGTTCTGTAATTACATTGTAGCTTTGAACGATAGTATAATTTAATAATGTAATAAAAACATATAAAGGTTTTTACTATGAAAGTTTTTCCTAATATCATGATTGACATTATGTAATGAGTTAGCATAGCATTTATTTTGTTTCGGAATTTTTGCACAATTCACGTAGGTATGTAGAACTTAATTTAAGTTCTTTAAGTTCTGCTTCTTTAAGAGATGGATTTGTTGAAGATATCACCTCAATAACAAAAATTTCTAAGATTCCAAAACTCCGTTTTTGCCGTTCTTCATTTACTGTGAAAGGAAGGATGTAAATTAATTAAATTAATAATTGATTAACCATTGTTGAATATAAAGGATGACAACATACTGAGTTCAGATCCTGAAATAGTTTCTCTAGATACAACGAGTGCATGAATATCTGGGTCTGTTACAGTTGGGCCATAAACATCATATATTGGCACAACCTAGAAAAAATATAATGTATTAAGGACATGCATTTAATCAGTTAAATGAAATCTTGATTGATAATTTACCTCATATGACAAACCTTGGCGGATTGTGTTTAAAAATTTAGTGACTTTTGCTATTCGGGTATCGATTGGTTCCATATATTCCTTGAACTTTTTGCTTTTAAGCATACAGTCATCTATAAATAATATGGATTAAATTAAGTAATTATATGAAAAAAAATTATAAAAATTAGTTTTTAAGAATTTTAAATTAACCGGTGACACCGCAAATTAGCCTTTTATTAGTAATCCATGCAGTCAAGGTTAATAAAATTTTGTGTCCAGCGTGCAAATGATCAAAAGTTCCTCCAACGGCAACAGTTTGAAATATTTTTGGATTTTCATTAAAGTTATGTTTAAAATCTTGGTTGTTTGGTGATGGCGTCTTAGTATCAAATATATCAATGTGTATTTCAGGTAACGAAGCTTTTTTGCGATTACTATTGAACTCTTGCAATCGAGATTGTTCTAAATTGGAATGATAAAAAAAAAAAAAAAAACTTGAGATCAAATTGTGTTTATAAAAATAATAAAAACGTACCTGCTTTGCTTCCAAAAAACACATCAAAATTCGTTTCCTTAACTAATTCAATATTGTAACCATTCCATTTCTCAAAAATAACATCAATTTCAAGAAAATGTTTAGAATTTTCATAAGAAACTTTTGTTCCCGATATATATAAAAAGTTTAATAGATCACTAATCTCAGTCCAACATTCTGTTGGATAATTCTTGTAAAATTCAATTTCTTGACAAGAAACATGAATAATTAAAGAAATCGATGAATGATTAACTGCCAATTTGATTAATTCTCGGTGGTGCTCATTAAAAGAGGTTAACGTCGGTAAAGTAATTTGGAGTAACGAATTTTTGTAGCTGGATTTTGACATGTTGATAGCGAAACCAGGAATGTGGAATAATTGGATAAATTTATAAATTTATTAGTCGATAGATCATCTGATTGCATAATTACTATTTATAAAACTTTTGGTTTTTGCTGTACATATTAATTCTAAAAATGGCTCTACCAGATCATTATCCTTTTTTAACACGAAAAGAGTTTGACATTGCTGCTAAATTATTTATTGAACAATCGAAGAGGTCAAGTGATGAAGAACCTTGGAGCTGGGTTGAGCATGAGGTTTGAATTCGAAAAATCGGGATAGGAAATAAAACTTCATCGTGGATATAATAACGTAGAATCTTAAATTATTATTTAAAAGAAAGTAAAAGGTTTCGGTTATATTTGTCGAAAGTCATTGGTAAAACGTGTAAATCCAGTGAATTTCATTATCCCAGAAAATGATTTCACACAAATTGATGATGAAATAATAGAAGAAGAAGATTTAAATGTATGATAGGTTATTCCTCATTGTACTATTTCTTTTCTTCATTATCATTAAATTTTTCTACAGTCTCTACCAACTGTACCAGTATCGGATGAATACTTCACGGTTGATTATCATATCGTCTATTCAACATCTTATAAAGTTCCTGTACTTTATTTTAATGCTTACAATAGTGGTTGGTTTATTATTATTATTATTATTATTATTATTATTTATCTATATTATGTGATCTATTATTTATAAGGTTGTTAATGGAGCAACCCGGTTATACTCCAGTTTAAGGTTGAGATTATATAATAACCCGAGCAAAGTTATTTCTTATAACCCGGGTTTCTTCTTATGGAGTGACCTGGAGCAAAACCTGTTGTTGCTCCATATGGAGTAAAACCTGAGTTGTTCCATATGGAGTGACCTGGAGCAAAACCTTGATTGCACCATATGGAATGGCTTGGAGCATAGCGGTCTTTAAATCCGATTGGTTAATTACTGAAATTTATCGTCACATATACGCAGTATATATTATCTGACTTTATACGAATTGCCCAGGAACTACACCTTTCGCTCTATATATTGTCAAAATAATCACGAAAGTGGAAGAATAATTGAGTTAGCTATAGAGCGTTTTTATAGGTCTATTAGCCATTCGGAATGAAGCCGCCTATGCTTATATAGAGTAATCTGGAGCAAAACCCGGGTTGCTCCATATGGAGTGGTCTGGAGCAAATTTATTCTTATAACCCGGAGCATTAACCTGGAGCACTAACCTGGAGCACAACCCGGAGTGCAACCTGGAGTGTTAATTTAAATATAAACCGGGTTGGGTTGGAGTAAAATCTGCTCCATCTAATTTTAACCCAACCCACTCCACTCCACTCCATTAACAACCCTTATTATTTATACAGAATTCTTTCTCAAAAGATCCTTTATATTTTAGACGGGACATTATTAACAAATGATGAGATTTACTCAAATTTAGTCCATCCTTTAAAACAAAATGATATAAAAACTGCTGGATTTAATGGTGCAATATCACAACAGGTAAAATTTACAAATTTTAACAAAATTACTTTACCAAAAATTTCATAATTAGTAAAATATATTCTATTCCATTGATTTAGGATCATCCGACTCTTTTAATTCCATTTTATTATCTTCACCCTTGTGAAACTGCTACATTAATGACATCAATAGTAAGTAATTCGAAAATGGACAATAATAAACTACAAGCAATACCTTTAGAAGGATATATTAGAAGTTGGTTAAGTTTGGTTGGTTCTGTTGTTGGAATTAAAGTTGTTATAGATTATTTTATTTAATAAATATTTAATTTTTAAAAGTTTATAGCTGTTCTATTACGTGCTCATCATTGAGTTATTAATAATAATGAACTTTCTTTTAATAAAATATGAATATATAATGTATTTTAATATTTATAATTTTTTAATATTTAAAATTGGAAGCTTTGGATATCCAAAAAAATATACAATACTAAATTACGAATTGTCTTTTTAATTAAAACTTAGTATTCGGGAAAATAATCTATCTTAACATCCTAAATACAGAATATAATTTTGCTTAAATATATTACTTAACATTTACAGTTTGTTTTTAGTTGTATTGTAGTTATTTATAGTAGTATATAAATTTTTAGATAATACAAAAAAAACCAAGCTAAAAATTTTAATTTGAGAATATTAATTACAGTATATTAAAAAAGGAAACTTCTTGCGTATTTTGTCATAGTGGTTTTCAATTTACTGTTTCTTTATAAGTTATTATATAGTTTTTTGTTGTTATTAAGAGCTCTATCTTGTTCTTGAAAAGTCTAAGTTATGGTTGGTATATACTTTCTATTATTGATCTATATTTATAATAGATAAGCTAACTTGAAAAATAAATATACTATATTATTAATATATTAGTTGACTAATTATAAAAAACTATTAATGGTTTAATTACAATATATTTTTGCTTTGTTTTAAATTAGTTATTTTATAATTTGTAGTTTAATCAATCTTCAAAATATCTTATAATTATTATTATTATTTTTTTGCTTTACCGGTAACTATTTCTTTTCTAGCTTGATTTGTTTGTTTTATTTTAAGTTTTGGATAAGTACTAAATTTGTTACTATATTTTTTTTTTTTAACTTAAACAGTTCTACCAGATCTTTTATTAAAAGAATTGTATAAATAAATTTATACAAATAATTACTTAAGACTATACAAGCTTGTATTTTTGGTTTTCATAACTAGCTAGATCACCAAAAAATTTGAATTTTTAGATGCAGTAAAAAAATTGACAATCTAATTGACTATTATATATACATAGGGCTCCGACAAACCCGAGTTTGGTTCGAAAGTTTGCAAACATGTTTGAAAGTTCGGGCCCAATAACAGTCATAAACTTTCGAGTAAAAAATTTGAACACGAGTTCTATAATAATAAGTTCCCGTTAAAATTCTTAAAGACTATTGTGATGGTACTAGTGAATTAGATATGGTTATGTTAGTTTTGTATTGGGACGAACGTGATTTCCATACTGATTTACTGTAAAAAATTCGGTTATTGTATTTTTTCACTATGTACGGTGATACAAGCAATTTGGATACAGTTATATCAGTTTTCTATAGTAAAAATTTTTACCGACTATTGTGGAGATTAGGACCGATCAGTATGAGACTGGACGGATGCATTGGATTTAGATTGCAAGGCGGATCAGTAGAAACGAACTTCGGCAACGAAAGATTTAAATATTCCGGTAAATTTATTCAAAGGGTTTAATCGTTTAGAATTTAACCCTGTCAATATACATATATTCAATTGGCAGCAATGACTAATGAAGACATCAGCGTATTTCAATTGATAGCAATGACTAATGAAGAATCAACATATTTCTATTGACAGCAATGATTAATGAAGACATCAGCGTATTTCAATTGACAGCAATGACTAATGAAGACATCGACGAATGCCAAAGGCGTCCCTTAGCGGCACTACTAAAGGATTTCAAAGGTCTTCAAACAAACACAAAAAAAGATGAAAACATTAGTAAAAAATCAAATAATGCATTGACGTTGAAATATCAAGAAAAGGTTTATTTTATTATGGGCGGATATTTACGTAAAACAGTTTGTGCAAATGGCACATTAATCAGATCATTATTAAACAGGCAACCAGTAACATTCAATTATGACCTAAAAGCAGCATTGCCAAAACTACCATGTGAGGCTGGCAAACCATGAGAATCCAAAACAAAGTTCACCCTATTAGACAAAAGAGAATTATATATTATATTTGATGTATCTGAATCTGGTAAATTTGAATGTGGTAAATCTAATTCATTTTATTGATATATTTTTGTTTTTAAAAAATGTGTTATTAATGGTTGGATACATAGTTGTATTGATTAATGTGGTAATTTTTAGAATTACATATAAGAACTTTCTTTATATGGTTATTGATTAAATGTTTAATAAATTAAGCAAGCAATTGCTGATGCTGAATTCTGTAAATCAAATTTTCAAGCTAAAAAAGTTGTTCAAATTTATTAATAAGATATAATCTTTGTTCAAAATCGGATAGGTTGCTTCTAATCGATAATATATGGCAAAAAAATCCATCACCACATCTTTCTGACTGATATATATCATTTTAATTCATTGCTTACTTTTCAGAAATTTACTATAAAGTTTGGAACCGATTATCGTAATCGAATTTATAACCGGGTCAGAAATTTTTTAACCGGTTTTATTATATCCAATTGTATCTGATTAATCGGTTTTATTGTCCGGAGCATAGCTTGATGATTAGTCAAGGTGATACTATAGTTACGTTTTTGATATATCAATAATTATCTGATCAATAAAATGTAATTTTATAGCTTGGTGTCTGTCCGCACACATGCATTAGTTGCGTTTTCTTTTTTTGATCCACTTTTTAATTTGCATTTTAGCGTTAGTGTAATAAAAAAAAACATTAAGTTCCGGTCATGCATTAACTAGTTAACCGGTTGTATTGATTAATCGGTTTATTATAACCGGTGTAATTAATCGATTTTATTATAAACTAATGCAAGTATGAAGCTTTTTTTTTTTTTTAAAAAAAAAAAAAGAAAAGGTAATGTTATGGCAAAACCAGGTTCAATTGATCATAATAACGCAAAACTAAAAATTTATTTTATAGTTCTAAAGATGAATTTATAGCTTTTTTCATTATTTTTGAGACATCTGAAGAATTTTTTGACGGCTGAATCGATAAGTTACTGAGTCGGAATCAATAAGTTACCCGACATCAATTCAGTCATCAACAATTTTTCAAATGTCCCAAAAATTATGAAAACAGCTGTAAGGTTTCTTTTGAATTACATAAAATTCTTACAACGAACTAGATATTTACGAAAGTTAACACTTACCGAAATGATACGTATAAGAAATTAAACACTCATCTTACATATATGCATATGCGTACATACTGTATGATGACTCATATGCGCCAATGTTCCTGTCTACAACTGTTCACAAATATCCACAGCACTACGATAACTGATTAATCGAATTTACAGCTATTTTCATAAATCCTGGAACAACTGAAAAAATTGCCGATGACCGAATCGATAAGTTACCGAGTTGGAATCAATAAATAACCAACTTCGACCGAACTCAGAAACTTATCGATTCAGTCATCGGCAATTTTTTCAGTTGTTCCAGGGTTTATGAAAACAGCTGCAGCTGTTTTCATAAATTCTGGGACACCCTAAAAAAATTCGCCGAAGTTTATTCGAATTCGATAAGTTATTGATCAGTATATAAAAAAAATATTGAGTTACTATTGCAGCCCATTGTTCGATCAATATTATATTACATTCGCAATGTCAACTCTTTCAACACTTAAATTAAATTTTTTTTTTTTTTACCTTATCCAATATGTATGATATCATACAAAAATTTATGCCAAAAATTGTTCTTGCCAATTAATAAATCTTCACTAAAAAAGTTTTGAACATAAGTTGGACTTTCATAATAAACATATAACAGCTTAGAATTTAAATGATCTATAAATAAAAACAAAATTTTATACTTCAATTTCATTTTGTGAATCTTTTTATTATATAATTATCTTTGTAACTTATAGTATAGCAAACTTGTTTACTAAATACAATACAAAAATCAAAGAAAATTTTGTAAATTTGACTTTTTAATACGTAACACTCCATATTACTCGAGTAGGCACTAATAAAAAAAAAAAAGTTTAAATACGATCAGGGTTGTCAACTGGTTCGAAAAAAATGCAACATAAGTTGAAACCAGAGGTCAAGATTTTATTAATATTTGCCAACGATGTTTTAATAATTATAATAAAGTTCAAAGTATGTACGTAGAATGTTTATTTAAAGTGATGATAATTCATCAACGTAGCCATACTATTGATATTGTTTGAGAACTCGACCCACAGAAGACCGCTCTTTTCAACTATTTTCCAACGAATATGTTTTGAAAAATCTTAGTAACAAATACATATGTATTATGCATTTATATATGTATAGCACCGTGATAAATAGCTTATCGAATTCGGCCGAATAGACCTCGGCAAATTTTTTTAGGGTGTCCCAGAATTTATGAAAACAGCTGTAATATAACCGATTAATCGAATTTAACCGGAGTAATATAACCGATTACAGCTATTATTATAATTCCTGGGACACCTGATAAAAATTGGCCAAACGATTTTTCGGCCGATTCGGTTAAGTTTGTGATTTCGGGAATAATAGATCCAATAAATTGATATAGGGATGGATCGGTCTTCGTAAAAACCGGGACCGGATGGTAAAAGACTGAGGGCCGAATAATTCTCAGTCCTCGGTCCGGAATCGTCCAGTCCTGGTCCTGATTATGGTCTAAAGATGACTAATACTACTGATAAAAAGCTGATAAATTAATTAATATAAAGAAAGCAACGCAAATAATAATAATAATCATAATAAAGCTTTTATAACCCTTTCTAACCATGAACGATAACAGAAATTTCTTGCTTCTATCTTCCAATATTTCTCAGTGTGATAAATAAATCGAAGTTCCAATTTTCTAATGAAATAATGTTGAATAAGGAAAATCGAAAAAACATGGGTTGGTAAACTGGTCCTATTTCATTTGGCACTGGGGTGTGGCAATCATTTATGTGACAAATGATCATTTACTATATGTTATATATATTAGATATTATTTGTCACATCAAATGATTGGCCACACCCTAGTGCCAAAATGAAAGGGTCACTACAATAAACAAATTAAAACAGCCAAACATGTTGGACGAGTATTTGAACCAAAATTTAATAATGTTGACATTATTGTTATAAAGATCGTAAAATAATCATTATAATACAAAAAAAATCTTTTATTTGTAGTATGTGAGTGTGAACTTTTGTTGGAATTAATAAACTGTAAGCAGTTTATTTGTCATATTATTATAAAGAAAATTTTAATACTCTAAGTGTTTAAGATAATCTATTCAGGTTAAAGAATAATAACTATTTAACTTCATTTTATTTGCGTTAATTTAGGTGATTGGTAATAATAATTCCCATGATCTTGATGGCTTTACCACTAAATTTGATGGCTTTACCACTAAACCCTGAAAGACAGATTTCCGAAGAACCTAATACTGAAAAAATTGACCGGCATTAGTTATAATACTGAATATATTAGGTTCTTTCGAGAAAATGGTTTTTGGAATCTCGTTGTAGAACCGGTCTTGATATAGTGATTGGGGATTATGAAAAAAATTTATTAATCTAAGTTTTGAAATATGCTATTTAAGTTCATTATTTGATTTTTTTTTATTCGTATAAATTTGGGTATCAAAGTTGTTATGAATTTTTTACATGTATTTAATTTTATTCTATCCGCATTAAGAAATGAGCATGAAGAAAACCCATGTTTAAATGAAAGGGTACCCTATACGCAGGGTTGGCAATGGATATACTCCATTGAGAAATTTACCAATGGAGCTAATGGAGTGAATAGAGCCAATGGCTCCAATAGAAAAATTTAACAAAACCGATGAAGAATAGGGTTCTAATCTATATCTCATATACCAATAGTGAAATAAATCAAACAGATCAATGCCAATAGAATTGGTTGGTTCCATTGGCAATGTAAATGGAGCTGTTCTCCATTCGTACCAATGGATCAATGTGCCAACCCTGCCTATACGCTATCATAGATCCGCCAAATAACTGTAGCATATTAGTAGTATATCGGGTAACTAATAGTAAGACATAGGCATGGTATATATAGCGGCAAAATATCAGTAATCCCGACATTTTACTCTTAAGTATATAATTAGGATATTGGGACTGCTGATATGTTACTAATACTTTGCCCGTGCCTACATTTTTACCATTAGTCTACTAATATGTTACGGTAATTTGGGTGCATATCAGGAATTTGTATCCCATCATTTACTCGTTAGTTACTTATTCGTTCAATCTGTGTAGTTGGCTGCGCACTATACGCATGAACCTATTTTTTTTTATTCTCATGCTTCCCAAATAATTGTGTTGGGAATTCTCAGCTCTCTCAGCTCATTAAGTACGTGCTAAAACTGTTTTATTTCCCGTGTAACAAAGCTATAACGAGTTAGGGAAAAATGAACCTCTAAAGCCTACATGCATATCTATAAAAATACTAGATTTTCGTACCAATTTATGCATTTTTTCTATGCTCTAATAAAATATATACTAAATAAATATATACGTAGTAGAGATGCGTTCCGTTATCCGTTTTCCTATTTAAAATTTAACAGATATCCATTATTGTGACCTATGATTAATTTTTTTTATGATTAAATGATTGTGATTCGATCGCGATTGCTAAAGCCGGCCAATTTATCATAAATCTGAGCTTGACACAAACTCAGATTCATGTTAAATTGGCCGGCTTTAGCCATCGCGATCGCGATCGCAATCACAATCATTTAAAATCATAGGGGTCACAAAATTATGCAACCCGCAATAATTGATATTGATTAACCAAGTTGATTATCGATTTTTTTAAAAAAAATTGACCAACTAATCGATTGCATTTTTTTGGTTCGATTTGTAGCACTACTGATATCTATTAATAACCGGTATAAACCGGTTTATTAGTAAGATATAATATTTATGGTCAATTTTCGTTATCGTTTATGCAATAAATTTCATTTCTCACGTCCTTTGCTATAATGTCAAAAGTGTATCTCAAAGAACAAGAATACGGAAAAGAGAATGTCCGCTTAGCGAAGGTTATTCGAAAAGAAAAATGGCATGAAATCATAGAGCTCACTGTAAGTTTTAATTATATTTTATAAACTTTATATATTCTATCATTTATATTTTTCAACTATTAGGTTCGCGTACTTTTGGACGGTGAATTCGAATCTTCTTATACGAAGGCAGATAATTCTATGATTATCGCTACTGATTCAATGAAAAACACTATTTATATTCTTGCAAAACAATCATCTTGTGTTGAAGATATTGAAATTTTTGCTTCTGAGATTGGTCAACATTTTATTACCACATATTCACATGTACATAAAGCTACTATTTCAATTACCAAACATAAGTGGACCAGAATGTTAATTGACGGCAAACTTCATGACCATTCTTTCCTTAGAGATGGTGAAGATGTTCATGATACCAAGGTCGTCGTTTCAAGAAAAGGAATTACCATTGAATCTGGATTGAAAAATCTGTTAGTACTAAAAACTACCGGATCCGCATTTCATGGATTCTTGAGGGACAAATGTGGGTAATAAATGAAAATACAGTAAACCTCTCTAAATGCACCATCTCTAAATGCTTACCTCTCTAAATTCTGGTCCAAATATATTCTTGGCCTTATTGTTCTCTAATACATGTTAAAAGTTTTTCATTATAGTGTGCATTTAGAGTAGTTTAACTATATATATTTATGAATTAATAGATTACTACGTTACTTTCTTTTTAACATACAATAATTATATATATTATTAGTTACAACTCTCCAAGAGACAGATGATCGCATTCTTTCAACTAGTATTGACGCAACCTGGAATTTTAATACCATAAGCACAGATTCAATTGCAAAAATTCCCTTTAATGATATCTTTGAGTCAATTAAACAGATTACTTTACACACATTTGCCACGGATAACAGTGCATCCGTACAAGCTACTTTGTTTCTCATGGCTAAAAATGGATTGGAAAAACATTCGGAAATTGAGTCCATTAGATATGAATTGCCAAATAAACATTATTTTACATATGATCTTGAAAGGTTCGGATTAAAGAATACCGGCAAAGATTCTGATATCTTCGTGCCTGTCAGTGATCCAGCAGGTGTGTTGGTCATTTAATCTAATACTTTTTGTAATTGAATGATACATTTATTGATATTAAATTTTTTAATCGTGATAGGGCTGATAACCGCGACAGTTGCAAGAGTGAAAGAATGAAAACAAGATGGTAAGAATTTATAGTGGTCGATTAAATTATTGCGAGGAATCCACTGTATATTTTGAATTGTACAGAATAAATAATTATTACTACTGTATAATATTATTTATGAAATAAAATATCTATATATTCGCGCTATTTAGTTACTATTAAATGTATATAATCTTTGACAGTAAATAACTTTTGACCCATTGGTCCATTTTAGTTAATTTTATCACTAAAATGACCCTCTCGATGGAACGATTCTAATGAGCCTAAAATGCTAAAAATCTGATATAGAATCCCGAGATCCTAAAGACTTACATCATTTTGGTAAATCAAATGATTCGCACATTGTTTTTAATATTTTATTAATAAAACTATAAGCTATATACAATAAATTTAACAGAATTGGCACAAATATTTAACGATCGGATCCTGATTGATTCAAACATCTAATGTACTTATTGCTGCTGATAATATTTTGAAAGATTGGTAGCAATATAACTAAAATACTCAAGATTACCTCTTTCTAACTTGATTAACATAATAACGATTTCAACAACAACACCAAAGCATTCATCACCACTACATTAGCATGTCATTATAAGCTTTAACCTGTCATCTTTTCGAGTGCAAATTCAGAGGTTTACTTGATTCCCTACTTGTCACGTGAGTAACGGTAACTCGAAGTAAAATTGACGATCAAAAGCTAAAATAACTATACATAACAGAACTATGCTAGAGTTAAATAACCTATGTAATTAGTAATAACGTAATTGTATAGTATGTAAGGTACAACATAAATAAGAGATGTGAAGGGAAAGTGAAATACATGTCTTAGAAGTTTTAGTTTTAGAACTTTTGCACAAAAGCATATTTTAATAAAGAGAATAATTCATATTTTGTCGTCAATATCACTAGATCCGTATCTGGCTAGATTTTCTATTATATTGCTTAACTCCATGACACTACTCCATCTAAAAATATTTTCACATCATTTTTTTAAATGGTATGGTTAACTATATGTATATTGCATTATGAATACAAGGAATGGGTTGTTTGAATGCCATTAATTGTCTGTTAATTTTTCATAAAGTCCCTCAACAACGTTTATGTTTATATATTGCAATAACTGTTTTTTTTTCAAAAGGTTTATAAAGATAAATTTGATCCTTCGAGACCTAAAACATCATCACAATTTACTTTGTGTTATATGTCCACCAGAAATATTTGAGGGTGGACAATTTGTATACAAGTATTAAGTTTGAAGGATGATTATAGATAATTTTTAGTTAGCTATTTCACTTACCGAGATAGTTTCATCTTGAATTTTAATTTTTGGCAATCGTGAACCCGAGTGCACAAAAAAAACAACACTAGTAGATTACCATGAACAAGGATATTGGATCGGAAGGCCATTATTTGGCCCATGAATAACTAATTTAAGTTCAGGAAATATACATCAACTTATTTAAAACCTTATACAAAATTAATTTATATTGTTGGATATGATGATAGAGAAAATTAGAGATGACTTAGCTGTCTGTCTGACGGCAAAATCTGATTTCTTGAAGATGTGAATAAGCCAATTAAGAATCTTGTAGTTAGAGATCAAATTTTTTTTATCCGGATTCCCGAAATTAAAACCAGATACTGAATTAAGACGGGACACCCGCTTATAATCAGGTGACCCGAATGCTATATTGCTTCTAACCGACTTGAAGCCATGATAAGATATTTGAATCCGTTAACGGGTGACCCGTTCGTTGTATTAAACCGGTTGTCAAAAACATGACCCGGGTTGGTAATTATTATTATGATCAGGTTATCGGTTAGACAGTTATCCGGATCAGAGGTTGGATCCCTACTTGTAATCGAATAAATTTTTTTTTTTTTTTTCTCAAACTTAAGGCCTATACAGTAGATGGGAGTAAATAAAAATTTAGAACATTTTCAATAGCTGAAATTAAATTAACTTGAAACTGAAATTATTTTCAACGGTTAATAGTTTTATATATTTGCCGTACACCACTGACTATAGTACCCTGTCATAATACCCCATGAAAAAAACCCGGGTACTATTCATGGGTTCATTATTCAGAAATTTGAATAAGGCCTGGGTTCTATTCTAGTTAGGTATATACTGTATATACTTAGATTTGAAGTTCTTATTAAATAATATTGAAGCTATGTAAAGTGCCCCCTATTGTAGTACCCTCCTACGTGATTAGTATATTAGTATCCAGGCGGGTACTATTCAAATTTAATGATTTATTGAATAGTACCCGGGGTACTATAGTCAGTGGCGTATGATAATTTTAATTAGCTATAATACAGTACTTTAGTACTGTTTAATAGTTTAAATAATTTTTTATAATGTATACACTATTTAAATTAACTGTTTTATTGGCAAAATGTAGAATAATAATATGTAAAATTTAAAAATTTAAAATTATTTAGAATAAACGATTTAACTTTATTTTTTTATTTGTAAAATATTATTTCTTATATTGTAAATGCAAATAAAAATTATTGATCAATCAGAAAAAAGTTATCTTATAGGCAATAAACTATAAAATAAAACCTTATAATTAAAATAGAAATTATTATACTGTAAAAGAACAAATTTAAATTTATGGCTTTAAAAAAATATTTGGTTTTGGAAACATTTAAACACTAGGGTTTTGAAACACTGCATTCTCCATTGGTAAGGTTGTAAAATTACTGTAATTTTACGCAATAACTGCACCTTATTGGGTCATTTCTAAACGCAATACACAAATTTTGTTCACCTCCGAACAAAGTTTGTATATCATGTATTATAAATGACCCAATAAAATGCATTAAAACTTATAAAAAGTGTACAATAATTTTATATAATTTATATAATTTTAGGTAAATTAATTTTCATGTAATTTGTTGAGATCAAAATTTTACACTCTAGATCATCGTTTAAATCAATGATACAATGATGGTCAAACGTTTGTAAAAATTGTACTTTATACAAGCGTAATGAAATCTGATTTACTGAAATTTACGTAACGATAACATTACACATTTATCGTAAGATTGTAGTTTCTGTAACACGTGTATTTGGAAAGTGTCACTCTAACAACGTGTATAAGTCTATCATTATGTAACTGACTTTGACATCTGGTGGCGCAAAAGTTATTACTTGCTTTAAATGATTAATCAAAGTCTATTGCTTATTTCTGGATAAATTTATGAAGAGCGTGGACATTCCATGAATGTCCAAAACATACAAAATCATACAATACTGACCCAAACCATAAACCATGTAATAATCGTCATAAAGCACTACCCTTGGTACCGGCTTAAAATTTAGCATACAGCAAGGCATGCAATTTATGCAAATTTGTCCAGACTTTATTATAATTTTATTATATATTATCAAAGCAATTTATAATAGAGTTTCAAACTTTAGTTTAAATCCGTCCCGCGACAGCACTGCCCATGAGTGTTCATGAATACTCAATCAGAGACGGGTATTCAGTTCAAGCTAGGGATGTTATGATCAAGAAATACTTGTGTATAGTCTATTTGTTATACTCAAATACTTGTGAGTTACAAGAATTATACGTGGTGGGGACATTATGGCTGGGAACACTAAAGGCAGTGCCTAACGGTAGTGTCAACATGTCAAACGTGACTATGTGGCTTTTTTTAAAATCTATTAGAAATTCGATTATCAATTTCTAAATTTAGAATTGATTAATCACTTGATTTTAAATTTATCCATATCTAAATTAGAATTTAGTTAGCTGATAATAAAAATAAACTATGTTACGTACAGTACTGTAATAGCGTCATAAATTTCCCGCACTGGATTAGGAATAGGAATTAAGAACCTAATACTAGATTTGAACAAGAATTGAAAAAATTTTCCGTGCATCCCGCGCGGGAATTGCGCCTTATCACGCCACTTTAATGATAAGTACGTGTACATAGAAATATTTTGCCTGCTGCTGGAACATAAAAAAGCTTTGCAGAATTCGCCACTACCTTTTTTTCTATTCAAATATATAACTGTTTGTTTAGGTATACATATTTTTTAGAAACAACATTTATTTTTGTATAGTGTATATTTTAGAAAAACATAAGTGAAAACTTATACTGTATATACAGCATATAATTTATTTTTAGTTATGAAAATTAACGAAATATTTAGATCAATTAAATTAATTTACAAATCCTAATATTATACTTAACTTAGAAGGGTATACTTTGTTGTACAACCATCTATATAGCATCAAATGTTGTGCCACTTTTACAAGCATTTTAAGAGGTATAAAATATACAATCCTCCCTCATTAATATCAACCATAGGCTATTTCCAAATAGGTTGATATTAATGAGGGACGACTGTACTAACCTCTTCTCGCTATAGTCACAATCGCAATTGTCTATTCACATTAATTTTTTTGCCTATATTAACTAACTTTAATTAAAATTCCATAAGTAGACTGGATTGTGTGACCATAGTAGAGTTGATGGTATGTGCAGCACTTTTTATATTTATAATTAAAGAGATATACGATTTTTTAACATTAAAGGAAATATAAGTGTTTGAATAGACACGTGTAAATGATATGGGTTGTCCAATACAATAAATTTGTTTCAAATCGCGATCCGGGTTGAAGGATATTCGGTTAGTACATTTTGATCAAGTCAGATGTTTCATGTAGATAGATCGGGTGATATTTTTTCTTTTTAACCATTCACTTTCTGCTGTTTATGTTAAAGGATTAGTTGGAGATTGTTGCTTTGCAGAACGATAGTCACATCTATATCTCACATCTTAGTAAACAAAAAAGTTTGCAGTGAATTATAATCTAATCCTTCTCAAATTCCGCTTGTGTATTGAAAGCGGAGGAGACGGAAGTCCCTAACTGTTTCATCTTTTTAGTTACACAAATCATAAGTTTATGATGATAAGTAAGTATATGAAAAAGGAATCTTACAGATATACATCATCGAAAGTTAGTAGCAGTTAAATAAAACAAATAACTTTGGGTTGCCAATGTTAAACAAACTGTTTTGATGGTCTAAATCATGTGATGATTGGTTTCACACTGTTTTGTCGATAGGGTACAGGGTTAGATCAACTTTACGTTCTTTGTTTAGCAATAATACGCAATATTATAATTGTACACGTGGTTTGGTCGTCCCCCGTTATAGTCACGCCTGCAATTGTCGATAGTCACGTTAGTTTCTTCCTAATTACATGAAGTATTTTACATACGTATAATATTTATCTATCGTATGTACAGTACGTACTTATCAGTTATCGGCAGTTATCGTTATGTTAATTGTAATTCACAACAAGTAAATAAGAAAATTATAACGATAAAAGACTTCTTCATCCGTTTTAAATAAGGAAAGTATCACAAAAAATAATCATCAAAATATTATTATTTATATATAAAAAAGAAAATCGTACAAGTTTTTAAGTTTCCAAGAAAACTAATCTAAATAATATTTTTAGCACATTTAGCCAAAAAAAGTAAGAAATTTAAACACTTGAATGAATTCAGCCAAGTGGTGATACTGGATACACAATATTACGTAAATTAGTAACTTTGCTACTCTTGATACAATATGAATTCTTATATAGATTAACAGGAATTTTTTTAAAAAAAGTGTTTTTTGGCCAAGTATTTTGTTAGGTCAATACTATTAATAATTTTCTAGAAAATGGATATACACGTATTTGTATAAAAAAAAGAAAATTCGTATGTAATTATGATGCTATTGTGTTACTACTTGGCAAGATGTATGCGGCTGATCTTCTATTTTTTGACATGAGTTGGTGGCTACGATTATGGTCTCTCATCACCTGATGACAAAAAATTAAGCAAAAAATTTATATAAATAACAAAACATCCACTTTCCTAGTGTTTCGGATCTCATTAAAAAAAAAGAATAATAATAAGAAAATGTACAAGTCCCGTAATTTTTCTGCGCGAAAGAGCTCACCTCTTATAATACTTTTGGCCTTCTTATTTAGTGTACTTTTTTCGATTGTCGATATCGTCAATGCTCAAAATGTTCCAGACCCTAGTACTGTTGCCCAGGGTGCCCAGCAGGATACCCAGAATAGTGATGGGTCACTTACAGCTCATGGTATCGTCGTGGGAGTCATTCTCATCGTTACCGGAGTTATTTATTGTTTCTTTGGAAAGAGAGTATACCGTCTTACATTATTCTTGATTGGATTTTACATTGGAGGTATATTTATTTATTTATTTATTTTTTTTATCCTAATTATTAAAATTTTTTATAGAGATAATTTAAATTTTCTTCTTAATAGCTATTGCCATGTGGATAGCTCTCTCTAATAATGAACCTCCTCAAGGATTTGGAGGCGCTACTGCAAGCCCAACCATTATTTTGCTCGTTTCTCTTGCAGCAGGTTTAATTCTTGGTATGCTATTCGTTTGTTGTGCAGAGTTCGCAATCTGGCTATTAGGCGCGCTTGCGGGTTACTTATTTGCCTTATTTGTCCTCTCGTGGGCTTCCAATGGTGTGATACAATCAAAGGATGGAAGGATCATTTTCATTATAGTTTGTACAACTATTGGTCTCCTTCTCACTTGCTGTTTCTTCGACACGATCATTATAGTTGCTACGGCCTTCATAGGCGCGTACGCTATCATCCTTGGTGCTGATATGTTTGCTCGCACTGGATTTTCACAATCTGTTGTTAGCTTTTTGAATGGAAATACTAATATTCCTCCTTATGAGACCAATACTAAGATCTATGTAATGCTTGCAGCTTTGGTTGTCATATTTATTATTGGTGTACTCTTCCAACTCAGATCTCATAATGAGAAATTCTGGCCTGGTGGAAGACCACGCATTCAGGAAAATATAGGTCAAAGGTTTAAAAATGTGTCGAGGCCAAAGCCGACAAATTCGTCAAATCCAGTTTAAGAAATATTAAAAAAAATAGTTTTTTTTCTTATATATATATATATAAATCTTTAAATAAGGAGTTTTTTTTTTATTTCAGATGTAATATTAATATCAATTTCGTCACATTTTGTACATTTTTTTTTTTTAACATTTTTTTTTAATGAATCGCATAAAAATTTATTATTAAGAATTATAATGAAACATTCTTTTATCACAAGCATCTTTTCTTCATTACATTCCAATGACTTTGATAGCAATATGGAGCGCGTTTGCTACCCATTGCTTCTCTTACCAAACACCATTTGGTTCCATGAGTTTCTATTGCTTGCATAAGTTGACATTCCTCAGCTTTGGTCCAAGGAATGACTTTACTAGCTTTTTTCTTGCGTTTTGTTTTAACATTCAAAGGATTATTCACAATTCTTTTAGTTTTTTTAAGGTCTTTATCTTCATCTTTGAATTTTCCAAATGATAGTTTGGAAAAAAAACCTTCATCAAATTCATTTTCATCAGAGTCATTATCATTATCATTATCATTAAATGGTCTCTTTAAGCCTTGCTGAGATATCTAAAAATATAAATTATTTTTATGAATAAATGAATATATATATTATATATATATTTATATATACATAAATATAACACATAAAATGCTTAAATATATCAATATATGTACTTACGTTTGATAACTTTTCAGATTTTTCTTCTTTAAGGTAACTTTCTCGCTTTTTGATTTCTGCCGATGGACCGTCATTTTCAGCTGGAGTTAAGCCACCAAAGCCGATATTATTTTCCACAAAAGGAAAGATCTAAAAATAATAAATCATATATCATTATAAAATATATAAATATATAAATGTATAAATGTATATATAAATACATATATATATAAATATATATATATATATGATATATTATAAAATAAAATAAAATATAATATATATATATACAGTATATATACACATATATATCGATATAAATAACACAATGATAATAATGCAAATCACGTGTAAAATATATTTACACCAAACTGAGAATCGTCTTTTGCTTCATCTTTCTGTTTTTCATCGATAATATTAATACATTCATTTACATGAATATTAAAACTTTTAAAATTTTCAAAAATTTTTTCATCATCTCTTTCATAATCTAATTCATTTAAAATCGTTGGTTGTGTAAGGTCAATATAATTATTTTCTTTTAAATTTTCTGTCATCTTTCAAAAAGCGTTAATTTTGATGAAAAATAACATGAATTAAGCAAACAAGCAAACTTACTTTTATATATATACCCGTATAAAAAAGAATTTTTATCGCTCACGATACTATCACATTACATAAAAAGGCGTAATATAATAGACTTTTTTTTTTGTTCTGTAACTCGAGTAACTTTCGAAATCCTTACTTCATGATCATTATGATCATATATTACCTTTAAATAAATAAAACTATGATACGTACATACGTACGTGTGTTTAATTTATCAATCATCATGTGGCAATCGTTAGAAAGTAATATTGATATATCTTTTCTTTTACTAAACCTCGATTTTTTTTAAAAAATAACTTTATTATTGATTCCGATATATTTTACAAGATCTCAAAATTATAATAAAAATATACATATACATCCTACCAAGTCATTACAGATGTAAACCAATCTAATAAATCAAAAAAAATAAAATATCATATTATCCTATTGTGAGGGCATAATATTTCTAAATATATGACTCTAAATGCGTATTTCTCAATTTTGTATTTTGAATAAAAATAGGTAAGGTTATACCATTAGTAAATTAAAAAAAGAACTAAATCTACAGTTTAAATTTTTTTATGGCCAATAAAATATTTCTCGGTAACTTTTAAGGACACTTCAATAATTTAAGAATGAATAAAGTGTACATCTCACTTTTTTTGTTTCTATTGATGGAAGGCATTATTTGTTTTAAGCGGTAAACAAATTATTACGTCAAAAATTTTTGGCAAATAATTGATACGTAGGTACGTACGGACATACGTATCTCGTGGGATTTAAAGATACGTAATGTGTAGATCATTATCCTTCTTTGATAGTCGCACCCTTATCGTTATAATTTAGTGTTTGTAGGACCTAAATTTATCAACTAGGCTGAGCCGATACGTATAAGGTTAAAAATCGGTTAATTCCCTCAACTAATAAAAAAAACATTAGTAACACACGAAGATCATTAATTTGGATTCATGTACTAATATGACAACATCAGGGCGTAATCAGTGTCAATATGCGGAAAAGCTTGATAATTTTTTGTAATTCAAAAGAAAAATGTGACATGTATGCATAATAATAAAATCCGCGAAATGAATTTTCAATCTGTAGCGTATGATATATAATATAATATATATATAGTAGTATATCCAGGTTGGTAGATCCGGATCTTCGCATCCATCCTTAAGCAACAAAGATATTGACTTATATATAACTATTAATTAATAATAAAATTTGTTATTACTAGTCATTGCCATAATTGAAGTTCCAATCCGGATGAATCCCGTCATCCGTTTATCCGTATCTAATTATCCGGATAATCCGACAAGTATTCGGATAATTATCCGGATATCTATAGTAAACGAATATAAAACGGATATCCGAATAAATTCAGATCCGGATATCCGATGGATAAACGAATAAACGAATAATGGATAGGAACACTAGCCATAATATCTAAATCATTGGTTTTTTTATCTTGATCAGTTGGCTTTGTGCAAAATCGATTCTGGCCATTCTTTTACAAGATTGAATTAAATATTAAAATAACTTATGAATAATAATTCTTATACAATTAACCTTTTCTAAGTGCATTTAAGACAATTGCACTTAGAGAGATGAATCGTTTATTACTTTAGCCATAAAGACTGTTTTAAAGAGATGAAACTAAAACTGCATTTAGAGTTGACTACATAACATAAATTTTCATTAATATAACCCGCTTTTTCCTCAATCTATAATTTTTAACTTCAATATAAAAAAATTCACATTGTAAAGGAATCAGATTATTCGTCAGAATTCTAGCTGCAACTTTATAATTATCAGATCCTTTTTTCAAAATTTATACTATGTTAGTAACTTATTTAACCTTTAATGCTATTCATATCGATATAGAAATTTCAACTAAACCAGGATATCATTAAATATTCTTGTTAAAATATTGATTATTCTGTATAGCTGAAATATAAAGATAGACCTCACTAAGTAATAAATGTCCATCTTACCTATCGTATCTGTGTGTACGAATTCTAAAAGAGAGACAGGATTTCGATTTGTTGAATGCTGACCGAAAACTTTAATCAATTCTTATAGAATTTGAATTCTAAAAGTTTTAATCATTATCTCAGTATCATTTGAATTCTAAAAGTTTTAATCATTATCTCAGTATCATTTAAATTAATTAAAATTTTAATATCGATATATACCGTGGCACTTACACCGCCTAAGACCTCTCTTAAATTTCCATTGATAGTGTTCTCTTCCATGGGTTGATCCCGCTTTACTCGAAATAAATCTCTTTGGGTATTTAAAGTTAAGAACAATGTCAAGATATCAAGGAGATAATTCTTGATCGTTAGGCGTATTGTTAATTTCATATTTTCTTATTCTAACCAGACTTCGCAGATAATCCAATATCTAATCTTTTCGGCCTAAAAATTATCGAGTGTACAAATGTATTCCAGGAAAATTTCTTATAAAGTTTGAAAAAAAAGAATACTAATTTACAGCTCGAATAAATTAGTATATTTGATTAGTCGGTTTTATACGTATAGTTTAATTAAAAAATGTTTACAATTAATAAATATGTACCCATTGGCCTCGTGGCCCTCGTGCCCCGAATCCTAGCTGATATGCTATGAGTGTGACACAAATCTGCATATATATAGATGGAATTGAAATTTTAGAATCGCGTTCTGTGCTGATTAATCAAAACAATATATTGATTTCTGACACGATGATATTCACAGAAAAAACTTTACCTTCGCTTAAAGAAATTAACGATTGGGATTCACCTTTTGTTAAATATTTTTTTATTTTTCCATACTATATATGATCATTTACTCATTATATTAAGTGGATATTTGAAAGTTTAAGTAAAAGATACATCAACGGAATGTTTTATAATGTTCTAAAAATGGTAAACAAAGATCAAAAAGCTCCAGAAGCACTTCTTTTGGTTATTAAAAAACTTTTGAAGCAAAAAAAGGTGAGTAAAAAGGAGTTTTGGAACGGTGGCTTTTTTGCCAGGTTCTTGTGCCTTGTTGACCTACTCAATGAGTATACATATTGGCAAAACTATAAATTTTTAAAATCCCATCCAAATTCCAATTCCAAATCTCATCACAAATATAATAAAATTTGTCCCAAATCCTATTCAAAATATAATAAAATTCGTCCCAAATCCCATCCAAAATATAATAAAATTCATCCCAAATCCCATCCCAAATATAATAAAATTCATCCCAAATCCCATTCCAAATATAATAAAATTTGTCCCAAATCCCAATAGTTTTGCCAGCAAGTATGAGTAACTCAATAGGGAGTACCACAAGCTACTGAATTGGATGTGTGTGGAAGACTTCAATATACTCAGATATACAATAGAGGTGTGGTTCTCTATATCTAACCATTTCTGTGTTTCTTTAAGAGAACTACAGGTTCTAAAAAAGGAGTCTGTTATTAGTGATGCAAATGGCTTGAGCTGAGAAGCCAAGCTGAGCCAATTATCGTCTTGGCTACAGGCCTACTAATAAAGCATCGGCTTCAAAATTGGCTTGGCTAAAGACCTTGGAGCCGAAGTAGAGCCGTGAGCCAACAGGTCTGTAGCACATGACCATTAGCTAATAGTAAATTTGTTAACTACTAAATTTAAAAAATTTTTTATTAGAAATATATAAACCTCACTAAATTATTCATATGCGTAAAAAATAAACTAAAAGCTTATTTTCATTAATGTTAAGTTTTTAGTCTTGCTATAAACCAAAGTAAGCTATAATCGTTATTGAGCTATTTGCTTTTGGTATTAAAAGAGAGAAGTTGATTTAGCCATTTTTATTTAATATTAGCTTTTATACACAAAGTATATTTGTATTGTAAGACAATCTATATTACCTTTAATGGCTTAGTTTAGCTCGAGGCTGGTTGGCTTTCCAATAGCTCAGCTCCGGTTTATAGAGCCAAAAGATCAGCTCAGCTTGGTCGAGTCGGCTCTAAGCTGAGCTGAGCTAAGCTGTTTGCATCACTATTTGTTATGTGCTTTCTTTTTTTTATTTTTTTAATTTTATTAAACAAATTTTTAGTGGAATGTTAAATTAAAGAAGTTTTTCTTTTGACTCTCACAAGTAGTGTTTTTTTTTTTCAGTATTAAAAGGTGACCTTTTTGTCAACAGCAATTTATTATCATTAAGTTTTATTTCAGTATACAATGAGAGTACATATAGCCATATGTGCACTTTTGGTACTACAAGTAGTGTTTTTAAACATCAAAATTAATAATATTTTTATATTTTTGTTTTTTTTAAAAAGATGACATTAATACTACTAATAATATGTGGAATAATGCACTACAACCTATATGTCAACAAATACTTGAAGAAAAAAAAATTGGAACACAAACATTATCAACAAAGAAAAAAAAGCAAAAAAGAATAAACCACCTAAATTAAAGTGAAATGTAACAGTTCTAAGTGAAAATTTTATATGATCTGATATTAAAAAATTTCTTTTAATTTTAGTGAATTGTTTAATAAATGCCAAAGCAACAATCTTGAGCTTCCAACTTTTAATTCAAGCAATAATCATTTATATTTTAAAGAAATTCAAAATCTCTATCTTCTATTAAATCCACTAAGTTTTCAACCTTAACCTTTTCTTCTAGTACACAAAGTTTTCACAATAAATACAAATAGTGAAATAACTAATATCTTAGAATTAGAAAAGACTTTTCAACTTAAACAATATTTAGTTGTATTAGGAATTTCAGGTTCTGGTAAAACTAGAACTTTATTAGAATTACTATATAAAAAATATAGTTTTTATTTTACAGGAATTACAAACTATAATCCAGGCTTAGATAACTTAGTAAATATAATTTAACATATATTTCCAATATTGACAAATAAATCATCAAAAAATAATAACAATTATGTTCTACATTTCAGCAAATGTTTATTGTTTACTAGAGTCTATATTTTAAGTCATATTTTGAAAAATTATGGAAATATAGGTTCATATAATTAGACAATTTTACAGCTATTTTCAAATTTATTTTTTAGCTATGATATTTTTTTAAATATATATCTAAAGTTTAGAGAGGCTACAGAAGAACTGTTAGATCTTAAATTATGATTACTAATTTCAGATATCACAAAAGTAATAAACCAGGTAGATATTTTATTTATTATATTTTCTTTGTTTTACTCATTTATAAACATTATTTATATACCTGCATATATTAATATGCTTAACTATTAATCTTGTTAATAATATTTAGAAAAAGCTTATTGTAGCTCTTGATGAAGTTCAAGAACTTATCGACCAATTTCAAAATAAATTCAAATCTACGACTTCTAAAAATATGAATTGCCTATTATATTCTGTTATAATTAGAGTATTTTCGATAGAAGATTTATGTGTCATCCTATTAGGAACTGGTTTGATAATGAAATTAGCTCTTGATCATACTGGTTTGCACATCATAAAGGAGGAATCTGGAATGAAGAAGTTGGTGTAATAAAAAACAGATATGATTTTATCGATGCTCTAAAAAATTTTGTCTAATTTTAATTTTTTTTGTAAGCATAAAAATATTTTAAAATGGCTTATTGGAAGAGCCAGGTTTTCAACATCATTTGTGGAAGAATGGCTTTGCAATACATCTAATTTAAATTTATTATTTGAAACCTTTAAAAAATAATATACTAATCCAATACACTATGAAAGCATTATGGTTGAACTGATTAAAAGAACAAATAGTGAATATATTCATAAAGAGATAAGAAATCATTTATTGAAAAACAGAGAAGAGGACTTTGATATTATTTTTTTATTAGAAAGAATACTAAAAATATTATATACTGGATCTAAGGTAACTCTAGTAAAAAAGAGTGCATTATTATTATTTGAATATAGAGTAGCATTATTAGAAAGAGATGATAAATTAGAAGAGTTCCAAGTTACCATAGACAAACCCCTTGTAATTCCCCCCGCCCCCCCCCCCCCCCCCCCCCCCCCCCCCCCCCCCCCACCCACCCCCCCCCCCCCCCCCCCCCCCCCCCCCCCCCCCCCCCCCCCCCCCCCCCCCCCCCCCCCCCCCCCCCCCCC